CCGAAAAAAAACCCCGTAGTATCCCTCCGTGCGCCACCCTTCTTTATAAATATAACAATTAAACGTATGAGGGTCGTAGCCGGCAACAGACGGGCGAGGAGAGAGAATCGGAGAGAGAAGGAGTTACGCGTGTGGAACTACGGATTGCTGAAACGATCAGCGCCGGAATATGCGTCAAACAGAAGGGGGAGAGATATACGAGACTCGTATCCGCAGGAACGCGATCCGTATTTTGTAAAATTGCATTATACCCAACGGAAAGTTGCGAAACTTTTACCATTCGTATAAATGACTCGCTGGGAACGCAGCTGCAATTATACCCCCGATTCTCTATTGAAAAATATTTGTTTCGTACTCGGGAATTGTTTATCGAAGTAGTATATGTAAGCAGGTCTCATTGATTTACAGAAAAATTTTATGAAGGACACACGTCATTATCCTTAAGGGTAACAGAGAGAGGGAGAGAGAGAGGGATCTCATTCTTTAAATCTGTGTCACAAATGTTTTATTCTTGGGTTCCGTGTTCGCTGCGATTACTGTTTAATTTGTAAAGCTAAATAAACAGTCTAAATAAATAACGAGATTGTCTGAAAGAAGAAAGGCAGGGGGTTGCATCGCGAGAAATGAATAATGAACGGTGAGAAATAGGACGCGGAAAATTAGATTAAATTAGATTGGATAAAGTCGAACTAGATTGAATTAGATTAAACCGGGTCGAAAATTGGTAGGAAAGGGAGCACGTGCGTAAGAACGGAGGGGAACTGGCGGAAACGTCGATAACGAAAGAAAACCGATGAAATGCGGTCGGAAAGGGTTAATTCGCGAAACCAAAGACTCCGCGCTCGACTTCAACCGTTTAAATGGCAACTTGCATAAATTGTTGCAGACGTTAGTCACGGGTTTATATTAATAGATCCAGCTGTTCCTAGTTAAGAGTGAACCTCTGGTAATCAGTCAATAAATTAAATCAAGTATTCAAAAATTGGTGTCATGAATACGAAAAGATTTTATAGCTTACTATAGACTTTATAGATTCCACTAGCTTAATCATTATTCTACGAGACTTCCGTTTCAACTATTTTAAGTGTAATCAATTGATACAATTTGAAACTGTATTATGAATCAAGAATTTTACAATCGTGCGTCCATCGTTTAAGTCCAATGATCGTTTCCGAAGCGTAACATTCGAAGAACTTTTTGCTCGGTCAGGGGGTTTTACAAGAATCGAGATTGCGACACGAGACGCTGGGAGGTTCTGATGTAATACTTTATGATCGCTCGCTGCAATTTCTCGGTGACAACATTCGCTATTTCAGTCGCGAGGCGGAATATGTATATATAAAGACAGAGTTATGGGACGCAACGGATATCGCGTGTGTACCTAAGACGAGCGTAACGTCTTCCTTTGTCGGTTTTTAACGACTGCGAATCGTTTCCACGTGCCGATGGACAGTGAATGTCGATGACTTCGTTTGAAAATTGCACCGATTTCGGTTATGCGCTTACCTGTGGGTTACGCGTTCTCGAGCGCCACCGTTGATGATGGCTCAGCTCGCGTTCTCTCCGTGACAAATGCATTGCTCTCCTCCAAATCCATGCGCGACGGGATGCTCCTGGTTGACCTGCTGCAATAACATAACAAGCCATCACAGAACATTGTAAATTCATTTGGAACTGACATAGGTTCAAATTATATTATAAACAATTTGACAAACATATCTCTGTTGTTTCTATTCACTCGTTTTCGATATAAGACTTTAGAATAATTGCTTGCTCGATTTTTAATACGCAATATTCTAAACGCTTGAATTATTTTAATTGAAAGATCACAGGATACGTCTTGGGAGTTGTGAACGTGATTTTGATAATAAGTTGGAAATGATTTGGAATGGATTTAAAAAATTGGTTCCGAGAAGGAAAGACAAAGGATAAGGAAAACCGAGGGAGAGGCGAGTCGGAGGGAAGAAACAAGGGGGCAGGTATGGGTATAGCAATGGTTACAGCAGAATAAACCCCTCAATAATGAGTTCCGCGAGTGAATTCCCCCAGCACGGAGAGGCTCGAGATAATAAAACAGAGCGACCGGGACGCTCGCGAGCGCCGGTGGTAGTGACGGTAGTTGCGGTGGTATTCGTGGGCGAGGAGCGGCGAGGGACGCGGTTCCCGTACTCACCGGCAGGAGTAATAGTAAGAGGCAATAAAATATAATGAAATAACATCCAATCCAGGAGAGATATTGTGAAAATATTATTACTAACTTATTACTTGCTGGGCACGGCGCACCACCACGCTCTCTACGTTTTTCCTCCTTTTTTCTTTGCCCTCCTCCTCCTCGTCCACCCGTCGCCCGTCTCCCCGCCACTTTTCCTCACTATTTCTCCCTTTTGCTTCATCCCCCTTTCGCTCACTTCACCTTTCCGAACCCTCGTTCCACCCTTCGACCAGCTTTCATACTACCGGAGAGCCCCGATAAAAATTTCCATTCCGCGTTCCCGAGAACGCCATCGGATACCGAGCGACCTATCTATGCGTGTACCGCGAAATTCCACACACCGCCTTTTTTCTCTCTCCCGTCTACCCTCTCGCCTGCGGTTTCTTCCACGTTAACTTAAACGAACCGTGCGACCGAATTTTCATCAACAAACCATCTGAAAATCAGACTCGAGAAATGAACGAACAAGTCTACTGTTTCGTCCATTGCTAAACGGGATTTAAGTTTAAGATTTTAGTTTAAGGCTATACAGTCTATCCCAAAAGTTTATATACCTTAGAAAAACGCATTTCCTATAATTAAAAAGAAATCAGACGTCGGAAGAACAATGCTAATAATAAATAGCTACGTGCTAAAAAGTATAGAAGGAAATATTCAATTAATTATTGAC